AAAATAAACCTATAGATTCAGTATTGTGTTGTAGGATCAGTTAGAAGACTAAGTTACCTGTAATTTTATCTATCCAGAAATGCTAGAAAGCAAGAAATCATAAAAGCTTACAGAAAGCTGGCATCCCAGTGGCACCCTGACAACTTCCAGAGTGAGGAAGAAAAGAAGAAAGCAGAGAAAAAATTCATTGATATAGCAGCTGCTAAGGAAGTCCTTACTGATCCAGGTAATGATTGTACTACACAGTGGCTTCACTTTATTACTTTTTTATGGAACTGTAAAAATGCAGCAAGTGTAAGTTATAACAAACATTACAGCTTCCCTTTTCTGTTTTCTCTTGACCATCTTGAGAAAGCATTGTGCTCATACTTGCATCCAGTCCACTGTGTGAAGAGAAAATCTTGGAGTTAGTTATTGTGTTTCAGAGACTTTGGCTTAAAATGAACTTAAAAAATGATTATTTCAAATATATCTTTTCCTGATGCAAACTAAATTTAGATCAAGTCTGGCAGGTCCTGAGGGTAGAAAGAAGGTGGGAAATACAGTGACTCTGTGGCGTGGAGATCACAAGATCTGGTGTCCATCCTACCAAGAGATAAGCTGGTGGGTTGGGCCATGAAATCTAAATAGTGTAATAGAAAATGAGGCAATGTGTAGTTATCTTAGCTCACTTTTCTCCTCCTCCTCTTTTCAAAACAAGTTTAAAAAAAAAAAAATTGCTCAACCAAAGCCATCCCTTAGATTTCTGTCTTTAAACTCTTCCCTGTATGATTACTGGAAAGAGAAGCACATAAAAGGGTGGATGTCTGAGACTCTTGTTTCATCTTCAGCTTTTCTAAGCAGATTGTCTAAGTGATAATTGGTTAGATGGGCTCAGACTTTCAGAGGAGGGGTCAAAAAGTGAACTGCATTACAAACTCTTATGGTTAGTAGAAAGCCTTTTCCTGTGTTAATGCAATCTTTGTTTATAATTATATATATAAACCAGAGATTTTCTATTCTGGAAATGTTTGGTAATATTATCACCTTGAGGGTACATTCATCTGGTTTCTCCTTGACACTGTTTCTGATGTTAACCCCACTGGGCAAGAAAAGGGATTCTGGTCACTAACTGATCATCAGAGATGCTTTGTGTTGCTGCCCTCACTACAGTGCCTTCATTTCACTTTGGTTTTGTTTCCTTCAGAAATGAGGCGGAAGTTTGATGCAGGGGAGGACCCCCTGGATGCAGAGAGTCAGCAGGGTGGGGGCAACCCCTTCCACAGAAACTGGAACACTTGGCAAGGATTCAACCCCTTTGGTTCTGGAGGAGGACCATTTACATTCAAATTTCACTTCAGTTAGAGCCAGGACTGTTTCAGGTGGCTGCTGCTGTTTTTTACTTAATTTGTTCAAAAAAATAAAAACTCTCTCAGTTCAAGACCCAAAATCTTAATTTCTAATGTTGTCCTTAACCCAGAGTCTTACTGCACTAGAAGAAGGCTACTTCTTTCTTTTAGTATTTGAAGCAAATTTGTGGTGAGCTTGACAAGCTTATACTGGTGGGGGGAGGTTGAATGAATAAGGGTTTTGTTACTGCCTATGTATTTGTTGTGGATATGCAGGAGATGTGTTTTTTCCATCCATGGGAATAAACAACAAGAGGCTATTTAGGACAACACTTTAAATGCAGCTTTAGGACTCAAGTATATGCTTAAGGGTAAAAATGCATGTAAATATTTTTTTGAATTGGGGCCTAATAAATGTGGAAAGGGTAGTTAAAATAGTCTCTGCGTTAACAAATTGTTTGTCATTGTGCTCAGCAGAACGATCCATTTCTCAGTATTCTTTAAAGGAAAACCTTGTGACCACCCATTGTATTACTGTGGGCAGTGCCATAGGGAGGGGGAGGAGGCTGCTTACTGACTGAGCCCCAGCAATCTCTTACAAAGAGGATCATTTGTCAGTAATGATTTTGAAAATGTCTGCTGACCTTCTTCATTAACCTGAGATTAATTGGGGTAATTTTCTTGGCTGCAACTGTTAAATATGAAAGTTAAAAAAAAAAAAACAACAAAAAAACCTGTTTTGTTTTCTTCTGGAGATTGTTGCTGTGATTCTGAATGTTTAAGCATCATTTTTGAGGAGTTTGCACTTTAACAACGTATTTGGTTGAGATCTGGGCAAGGCAGCACCATGTGATGTTCCCACCTCTACAGCAATTTGTTACTTCTCTGTACATAAACTCCAAGCCAGCACAGGTTGTGAGGTGACTGTATGTGAACTGCAGGAATAAAATGCGAGCTGTTGCCTTCCCCATGTGGTACAGCTTCCTTTCTGTTGGGTGGTACCACAATGAATTAGTGGTGAAGTAGTTTGAAGCAATTTTATGTTTTGTTAACAGCCACAGTGCTGCAGAAACAGCTGCCTGTGTACCAGGTCTGACTTTGCATTGGCCAGAAGTCTGGTATAGTTCTGTACGTGGGCAAAACTGGAGTATGGAACTGTGTGAGATGGGAGGCATTCCTAGGGCTGCAGTTGTTGCAGGTGAGCTGGTCTTCTCATTCTCTAACTGAATATGTTGAAATTACTGATGAGTTTCACCAGCAGTTGCGTTCTTAGAATGCAAAAAATTACAATTCTTTAATTGACTGACTTGAATTTTAACTGGAAAACTACAATCAGTCAGTAGGGATCTTCTCTCACTTCAGTTAGAGGCATTTAAGAGCAAGAGCAGCCTCAGTCAAAGCAAATGCAATCTTCTGTTTGAAAGTGTATGTGTACATTACTTTAATTACTGTAAGTGCAGTTGCTTTTGAAGCACAGCCCTTTTCTGCTGCCTCAAGTAGTTTACAAACCGAACTGTGGCTTTGGAAAGTGTTTTTTCAACAGCAATTTAAAGGCCAGCGTTTGGTCAGCAGAAATTTATCTTCAGGCTGATGAAGACTGTGTGTGTGGGGGGGGATTTCCAGTAGTTGATGGTACAAAAGCACTGCAGCATCCTATTAAAGTTCAGCATCAGATATGTTCAAGTTGAATGACTTCCTAGAAGTTCGGCTTCTGCTTTTTGACACATCTGAAGTGTTTCTGTTTAAATTCAGTAGCAGCTCAGGATGCTGCTCATGTCCTTTTGAGGTCATTGGGGGCTCCCAATGGATCTCTGGGGCCCAGGCATAGGAACTCACTGCACAGCCCTTGCCCAGATGCTGTCCTATGGTGCCAGCTGGTCCAAGCAGCTCTCCCACGTTTTTTCTCACCATGAGAAGAAGCTGAATCCAGTTCTGAGCCACAGTCCCTGGTTGATGCACCCTTGCTGTGGTGCAGTAGAGCCAAGGGCTCATGGTATGCAGCTGTGTGGTTGTGTGCTGGCCACTGCCTGGCATCAGCAGTTCTGTACCACCTTGCTCACTGTAGGAGGAGCTGGTTTAAATACTCCTTAATGAGCACTGTAAGCAATACATGGTGATTTTGTAGATAGAGCTGTGTTCAGCTGCAGGAAGTAGCAATAAATACCACAGCCAGTCACTCTGTGTGCTGGAGAAGTGCTGCAAATGTGACATGTGGAAGGACTGCCCTTGTGCAGCTTTTTGTTCTTATCATTCTTCTTCCTCTGTTTTAAAAGCTATGGCTGAGAGATATTTTCCTTTTTAATTTTTTTCTTTTTTTTGGAAAGGAATAAGGTGGTCCCTCATAGGTAAACTGTTCATAAAAGGAATTGGTATCAGAGCTGTGCATATTCCTTTCTCTAATGCAGCAGATGATTCTGTAGGGTAGAAGCAGTCAGGAACAGAAAGGACTATGTTTAATTCTGACAATGTGTTGCAAAGGGAAAACTGCTTATTTTCTGGGGGGAAAGCTTGAATCCAGTCAGTGGGAGATGATTAATGCTTGAATGCTGTTCATAGATAACTCTTGAAAGATGAAGAAAAAAGATGACAAAGGAGAATGAGGCTTTCTGGTACCAAGCAGCTGCTGCTCACACACACCAGCACCGCTAAGCAAGCGGATGCTGGCTGGGAGCTCTAAGGTGCTTCTGACAACAGAGAAAGACAAAACTGTGCCTAGAAAGAAAGGAGAAGCTGTTATGTTTCAAGGAGTTTCAGATGCAGTGATGCAGTTGAGTGCTGGTACTGCACTGAGCGCTGATGGCACGTGCTGCGTATGAGGAAGCTGAATTCACCTTTTTATTTATAATGGGTGTCTGTAGTGCAATAATGTTCAGTAACTGAACATTGAAATAAGTCAGTCGCAGTAGTTTGTGAAGCCTGAGATGTGCATGAAGCATCGTTACAGCAACGGGCCTCTGTGGCGATGCACACTTTTTGTGTTGAATTCTGTCTTGCAGTTTGTCTAAACCACTTCCCAACTTGTTTTAAAATGAAGGAGGTGAGCTGTGGCTTATCTTGCTTTGAGGTATGCTTAGTACTGATGTGCTGTAAATCAGTATTAAACTGGATGCAGAGTGAATTATAAACATAAGAGCTTGAACTTGTGACAGAAAACCTGTTAGCTTAAAAAAAATAAAAGCTAAAGCTTGTTATCATTTCAGCCTCCAGCCCGGTGCTTGGAATGAGAATTACTCTTTTGTTTTGGGCTGTGATTTGTAGGAGCTTTGCTGGGCATCAGCCAGTATAGCATAGCAGGTTGGTTGTATTTAAAAGTGCCTTACTGTAAGGTATGGTTTGTTTGCTCTGTAATACACACTCTTGTCCATAAAAAAAAAAAAAAAAGAAAAATGGGAGAATTTTTTCTTTGCCCACTGCAAATTTTGTTTTATTTTAAGAAGGATAAGTAAAGTTAGCCTGAGATTTATCAAATTATGTCTTTATATTAAATCAGAAATCTAAAAAGCAAGAACTGTTTTTTTCTAGAACGGTGGGAATTATTTTATGGTATTTTTCACAATAAAGATATTTATGATGACAAGAAAGCACTGTGGTGAGTCTTTGTCTGCTCTTCTTTTCTCATCCTGCTCTCTAGTGTGGAAAGGTGGTATTCTGTGGGAGGGTGGTGGTAATGCTGCTTAGGGGTAAATTATAACTGCTACTGGTGCAGAAGTCATCAGGCTGCAGCAAGGCATTGTAATAGGGCTGAGTTAACAGAGTAAATATAAGCTTGGGGTGCGTCAGGCCCAGCAATGCCACCTGAGGGGTGGGGTTGTTGTGCTGTGCAGCCTCACCTCCAGCACTGGGTGCAGCTTTGGGGCAATGATGTAAGGGCATAAAGCTATTAGTGTGCAGCCAGTGCAGGGCTACAGAGATACAGGAGGGCAGGGTGTTTGAAGAGTGACTGTGGTCCCCTGGTGCGCTCAGAGCAGAGGAGCTGAGGGGAGGCCTGGTGGTGGCTGCAGCTCCTCACAGGGAGTGGAGGGCAGTGCTGAACTCTGCTCTCTGTGGCAGTACTGAGCAGGCCCTGCCCTCAGAGGGCTCCCAGGAGAGTTAGTTCCATGTAAATGGAACCAGACTGAGAAACTGACTTTACAGTGCAGTGCCTCCACAGGGTAAGTCGAAACTGAGGCTGAATGCTTTTATAAATCCACATTTTGCAGTCATCAGAGCCCAGAATCTGGTAGAGGAGCACTGCACTTAGGAGTGCAGCAACAGGAAGCTATTTATGTGAGTTGGCAACAGCCAGTGAGAGGCTGCAGGATGTTTCTTTCATCTGAAGGAGTGAGAATTCAAACAGAACTGAAAGCTCCAATGGTAGAGAGAAATGGAGATACAGCAGTGCTGATTATGGTTTTAACTGCTTGAGCTGTGCCTTCAAGTGAGGAATTGACAAACCAGATTGAGACTTTCATCAGAGGAAGCTGAGAAAAGTCAGAAAGTGCTGCGGGGTCACAGCTCTGGTCTGTGAAGTGCAGAATGAAGTATTAGCTAACACAGGTGTGAGTTTAAGAGGCAGCCTTGCAGGAGACTCCTCCCCATTGCAGGGAGGATGTGTCCAGCTGTCAGCAGGGCAATGCCTGCTGTGCCAGGAGCCCAAACCGGCCTGCAACATGAGAGTATTCTTATGGCACCAAAGGAGTCAGTGTGTCACTCCAAACACAAATCCTGAATAAGAGGCAGAAGAAAAGCATCCCACTGTCCTTTCACAATCAGAATGCTGCACTGGGAATGCAGTTCTCCCACGAGTAAAATTAGATAACATTACCCCATCAGTAAGTGGGGTAAAGAGGCATTCTCTGACTCTAGAAATGAGCTCCTTGACATGAACCAAACATTTAATGTTCATTGCATGATGCAAAATAGGAGAAAACAGTGCTTTTTTTCCTCTAGCCTTGCTCAAAAACTGTAAAGAAGCAGATCGCAGTTTTTCCCTTTATATGGAGAGTAACAGTTGTTTTCCTGTTACACACTGACTGTATAGCAGCATCAGTGTTCTAGAAACACCAGCATACATAGTTATGTTCCAACATGTTTCACTTCCTGTCCAGTGTTCTTCTGGATTACATTACTTGTCAAGAGAACAGGAGCAACAAAATAAACATTGTGGTGACGGAGAGGGAATGGAAATTGGTATTGGCTGATTGATTAACACTGCTGGATTTCAGAGGGAATATCCTATTGGGTACTTCATACAAATAAAATGCCCACAACAGACCTTTGAAAATCCATACTGACGTTTAAACTGCTATTCAAAATGCAGAAAGGTAATACAACGTAATATATAAATGCCTGTAAAAAAAATTTGCATGTTTCATATTACTGAGACTTGATGAATGTCAGGAAAGCATTATAAATAGATTATAAATACCTGCACTTAAGGGAAGCAATTTCAAATAACCTACACCCGAGCACAATGACTGCATACAAAATGTGCTCCATTTTTCTTACCCTTTATGCTCTTATTTACAGGTACAGAGAGATGCAACTCACGCTGGATTTACCCACTTAGTGCAAATTACATTATCTTTTATAATTACAAGCACTTACATTGAAAGATTACATTAAACAGCTCATGGAAGAATTTGTGGTTATATCCAGCCTGCTTTAAAACCAGCACAAATTAAATGAAATGATATGTACTTAAGGCACCAAATATCAGTTTCATAAATACATTTTCCTATTTGCAAATGTGTACTGCCAGAATTTTCCACTGCAGTTTTTGCACAATCAAAATGTACTGACAGCCCATTCGAGCAACAGTTTTTTGAGTGAGTATTGATAAAATAACAGTAGACACCACTGAGAGTGAAAAATGAGTCGAGTGTTTTATTACTTTAAACTCTGGATAGAATAATGATAGTCAAAACTGAGTGGATACAGCTCTCAGGCACGGACCTTCTGACCTTTCTTAACCAAAACCACACAATGGAATCTAATGTCATACTATTTGAGTGACAAAGGGAGCCCAAGAATCAGAAAGGATTCTCCCAAATTAGCTAAGAGGGCAGTAATCCTGTATCATGAATAGAAAATTATATTCCTGACTTTGGTAAGCTTCAAAGGTGAATTTGTGTGGTCTGAATTACCCAAGCTATTTTTTTTATATTGTATCTTGGCTACAATGAGAATTTGGCTTGTGACCACAGCATTCCTCCAGGAAAAAAAACTATAGACGTATAACCAAAATTCTTGGTGTTTAAATACATTAGACTAAATGAATGTAATTTGCATAAAACAGTTTTCATATAACTATTTAGTGCCTCCTCCCCCTTCCCAATTGCTGAGGCAGTGCGTCTTTGAAGAGCTGAATACATCATTCTTTATACTCTAAAATCCCCTGGGCAGATTGTCTTCTAGAGGAGGAAAAGAAAAAGAAATAACAAAAGCAACTCTACTGACTTAAATAAAACCAAGTACCTGTGGATTTCTCCCTTCTGGTCTCTGTTTCTTATGTAAAACTCTTTAAATAACACCATAAGTTACAAAATATTTCACTTTACATTACAGAGTGTTACAAATAGTGCCAAGGCAACTTCCATGGCTTCCACTCCATCCTTTGCAGAAGACAGTACACTGTCACCATCACTTTTTAAAGGCAGTGCTAAAGTTCATCGTGCTTAAAGCCTGTAACAAAAGGAAAAAAAATCTTTAAAAACACAAGCATGTAGAAACTTATCGACTAGTTTTGTAAAACATGGAGAAAGCCCTTTCCTGCCTCGTTATTATTACCAACACAATTCAGTGACACAAACTTCATTTTTAGAGGCTTGCCACACGCAGACCAAAGATTTCACAAATAAATAACAACCACTTGGAATTCTTTGTAATGATAAGGGAATTTATTCTCTGACTCAAGACTGGAGACCAATACAAGCAGGAAAACTGCAGTCTGAAGAAAGAGAAACGTGCTGGACAAGCAGATAGGGACATGGGCATTTCTGGAGAGGGGGAGTAACATCTAGAAGGAGGGGAGCATAGAGGGAGACTGACTGCTAACCGGGGAGCACAGAGAAATGGAAGGAAAACGTTCTGCTCAGTCAGGAGTGAAAAGGATGAGACAAATGGCACTTCCCAAATGGTGGACTTCAGTTATCTTCTTGGTTCCATGCTTGGAAATCCTTAGTTTCAGTTGGAAGTCCAACCGTACTCATTGCACCTTTCTACCCATATAAAGGTACCCTTCTGAATAGCCAATGTCCTTTACTTTAGAAATCTTCCACATTTGTACTGAGGATTTACACTTGCTGAACAGCATTAAGAAGAAAGAGCAGCAATATGAAATAAAAAGATTATCTACTTGAAAATGTTGTCCTCTTGGACTTCGGCATGAAACAAATGGTTTGTTTCACCTTAGCATATCTTAGCATAACTCCCATGTAAAGAAGCATCGCACGACTCTTAAAACCCAGACCATTTCTCACAGAGGATGAAAAATTATTAAATACAACTCAACTTACATGTCTACTGACCCCAACCTTTGTTTCAAACAAAGTATTTTAAAGAAGTAACAGATAAATATGAATGTAAATTACCTTTTTTAGAAGATGATTTTTTACTTTTCTTCTCCTTCTCAATCTGCTGTATTAACTTTCGAATCTCAGTATCATAGTCAACCCATTCTGGAACTATTCGAGCAGCAGCCTCTAATTTTGGTTCTTTGGTTTGGGGATTGTTGCACTGAAAGTTTAAAACACAGTGAATGTAAACAAAGCCAATGCAAAAATAACAGCTTCTGAAGGAACTGTAAGTCATCATCTCCTCAGTGTCACTGAAGATACACAGCAGAACACCAAACACTACTGTTAAAAACTAGCCAGGTAACCACGTGTTGATTAGGACAATAACCTGAGTGTTTAAAAATGGACTGCAAATAACTCCAATGTGAGAAATAAGCTTCAGACAAAAACTACACTGCAGCAAATCACGAACCTTGACAAAGAATTTAGTGTTGTAAAAAGTCAACAACACACCAAAAAATCTTAAATATTTTGGAGAGAAGTGCTACTTACCACATTTCCTAGTCACCACATTTGGCTAAAATTTTCATATTTTATATCAAGAGGCATTTCTCAGCAGCCCAGAGAGATACCATGTCTTCAACACGTTTTTTTTTTTGCTCTCAGTTATCTCAGATCTCACACCTAACAAGTGTTTTTGTCAGCATTTATAATATCATTTTCTAGAATAGAGATTACCCACGTTTAGTGCACAAAAAAGCTTATTTTAACTGTACAGGCACAAAATACATTATTTACATAGTGAATATTTGCATCAGATTCCAACTGCCTGTTTTTGTTCAGAATTATGGCTCCAAAGGTTCACTCACGCAGAGCGGGAGGTGACAAGAAATGAACAAGAGGGGAAAAATGGAATGGGGGTAATAATGACAGAGCAGAATTTTTTCTGTTTCAATTCCCAAACAGAGATGCTTCCTTCTTTCTAAATGTGGGTATGTCTCCTCAGCTTTATGATTTTTAAGATATATATAAGTTATACATTATCTTCAGTTTATAGTGGTGAAATGGACAGAGAAAAAGAGCCTTGCACAATGGGTTCAGCAGAGGCAGCAGCACACAATACTCACAGTATGCAGTAGAGTTCCAATAATACGGCTAAATATGAAAGAAAACGGGGGATATAAGCACAGAAGTAAAAAAAACCTGGCTCCTATGCAGTTAGAGATCGCAACTCTTCATTTTCAGGCAAAGTTTTCAGCTTCAAAATAAGCAAATTTTCTACAGAGCACACAGGAAAGGTGCTGGAGGAAAGAAGAAATTGTATATATCCAGGTATCTATCAAAAGCAGCCCAGTGCTCCAATATCCTCCAGCAAGGCTGGCTCCATGATATCAAAAATAAGCGTATCTCAAAAGCCACAGAAACTGCAATCAGTTTTTTAATCTATAGAACTAATTTAATTCAAAATCAACTCACCAAGTCTATTGTTTTAGCCTTTTTCTTAGATTCATCATCACACCAGGTTTCACACCAAAGCCACTCTTGAGGGAGAGACTTGATAGCTACTTGATGAATCATATTATTGGGAAGATCCTGCACAAGTTTGTAAAATCATGAATTAGCACTGAATTTTGATGTAACTGGTTATCAAGAACTTGCTTATGAGGCATTCCAGAGAATATCTTTGTTTGTTAACCATTTGTTACTATTGTTACATGTGATGAGGTGGGAATTGGCTTGTTCTCCCATGTAACTAGTGATAGGACTAGAGGGAATGGCCTTAAGTTGTGTCAGGGAAGATTCAGTATGGATGTTAGGAAATACTTTTTCTCTAAGAGAGTTGCCAGGCACTGGAATGTGCTGCCCAGGGAAGTGGTGGAGCCACCAATCCCGGAGTTGTTCAAGAAACACTGAGATGTTGTTCTGAGGGACATGGTTTAGTGGGACATACTGGTCACAGGTGGATGGCTGGCCTGGGTGATCTTAGAGGCCTTTTCCAACCTTGGAGATTCTATGACATGTACAGTTTTTTTCTGTATCCTTCTAAGTAATTGCTCACCTGGCTCTTTTGCAATTCAAAACTTATGAATACTAATTTTGGTGGCCAATATCATCTCTTTATTTCTCATAAGGAATTTTTTTTCTTGCACTTAAGCCCGTTCATCCTTAGTTGGCATAAGTAATGCCCACAGCTCAGATACTGCGTGCCTTGCTCTAAATACTACTGAGCAGAATTAGGATGAGTGAAAGTTTTATAGCATACCTTACCCATATTTCCATTCCTCACATTTGCAAAAGAAAGCTCAAAACCATGTAACGTGGAATTCTGGCACTATTCTAACGTTAGCCTTCTTTAAGGAAAATGGATTCCAGAAATGTGAGTGTGAAAAGAAAAAGTTATTACATTGCTACTCTGGCTATCCTCCTTACTTTCTTTTTTTTTTTTTTCTCCAACTTTATTGTACACTCAAATACTCTCATTGTGAAAACACTGATCCAATATCATGTTGGGAATAGTGTTTACAAAAGAGAAAAATCCTGGGCAGCTGTACAGTACAGGTTCTCTGGCCATAGTTAAAAATAACAAGTGTATGCTGTAGATACTTTCATGAGCTCTTTCATATGCACAACCCTTACGTTACATTTAAAAAATAAATGTCAGTACTCAAGTAAGTAGTAGTTGGGTGTTACTTTGCCAAATCACACTGCTAAATGTGACAGAATAAAATAGTACATGTAGCCGTGCTATAAGAAGCATATAACTTAATTCAAATATAGACATTAGCATGGAAAAAATACACTAAATAGAAGCATAATGAGTCAAGATGTTTAAATGTTAATTTAAATGTTTCCTTTTTTTTTGGAAAACCTCAATTCTATGAATATTAGGAATCAAATAAATGTTTTATTGTCACCTCAATTTCAAGGGAAAAGAAGTGTTTTTTCTGTTGGGTCTCTATGACTTTCTAAATGAAATTGCAATTCCTAAGTTAGTATTACAGCTCTAAAAGATATGAACTTAGAAATCATTAAATAAAGTAGAAAGACACCTGCTAGATCCAGGATTTTAAATATACAGAAGCAAATATATTTAAAAAAAAAATCCACAAAAAATTGTTTCTTCTTTCAAAATAAAGTGACTTATCCTCAAAAGCACTAAGATACAGATATACTTCAAAGTGAATCAAAGAGGAAAGACTCATGAGTCATAAAAATAAAAGATCAGACTCTTTACACTGTCATTGCAAAAAATCTTGTTCATTCAAAGTACGTAAACTGATGAAAGTTTCCTGGACTTCCACAAATAACACACAAAGGTTGCTCTTCGATTTGATTTGCAATATGGGCGTCTTTACATGTAGTCAGATAACCTACGTAATTTTAATGGTGTACTCTTCAACTGCAACTTTCTGTATTGGAAAATAAAATCTCACATTTTCTCTTAATAAAATATTTTGCTATTACATTTCCTCCACTGATTGTAATTCTGCAAGTGAAGAACAAGATTTGTTTAATTAAAGGCTTAATTACCTATTTTCTAATGAAATTATATTTACTGTAAATATTTGCCGATTGTTTTTTCATCTTTACACAGCTATTTCTTTACACTTTAGGCTTCTCTTTCAACAATACAGTTAAATATGCTACACTGCAAGTCTAGCTTTCGCTATGTGAAATTCTTCTCCCTATCCATTCTTACTGTCTTTCTTTGTCATTTAAAAGTACTTTTTTTTCCCCACTCTTTCTACTTCTATTTTGTGGTTTATGTCAGCATATCACAGAATTGTAGGGGTTGGAAGAGACCTCCAGAGATCATCGAGTCCAATTCCTAATAACCCTAAAAAGCAGTCATGAAGGAAGCAGGCCCAAGTGTGTCACACAACAGGTAAACTAGCAGAGCTTGTTCTTTGAGAAAGGCAGGCAGAACTCCAGTCAGATATTTTAAAAATGAACGCCTTAATTCAGCAGCAGATACACACTTTCCAGGACTCCAGTAAAATATACAGCACTGCAGTTTGTATTTCTAGGAATGATGCTCCATTTGTGGTAAATGGAGCCAAGAGGAGCCAGGAGGCATCCTACCAATACAATCAAAAAGCAAATTAGTATGGAAATATTACTTTGAAATATCTCCCTTTCCAATAATTCCAATTCCATTCTGCCAAGATTTAGCTTCCTTAATGTCTGCTTTCAGTACTGATGTGCTGAGGGAAGGGTACAAATGGCTTTTGATGGGATCCAACAAGCTTCTACGTTAAGGCTATCAGCTATTAAAGCTGTTGCTGAAAACATAAGAATCTCAAAATGGAAAGATGCACATTCTTGCTGTTGTGAAGACATTATGTAAAAACTAATGACTATTTCTGAGAAGAGGCATAATGTCAGAAGACTTGTGACCAGCTTCTTGAATCTTGAAGGTCTTTCTGAAAGATACATTATATGAGTGCATAAGACTATGTTTGAAAAGCATGCAGCTCACTGTACCAGGACTCTCCAAGTGCAGGAGGCAGCAAGTCATTTTTCTGTTCCAATTTTTTGTTTTATAAGTTAATGCTCAACTGTTGCTGTTATATCAGTCTACTGATCTTCTCAGTCACAGATGAAGACTGCTCTAACTCCTCGTGTTCTGTTTAGTCCCTGTTTGTAGCGTAGGCATATTTCTACTTTTCTTTGTCCAGTACCATAAGAATGGCTTATTTTATTTTTATTTATCTATTTAAGGGAAAAACAGTACTGGCAGTGAGAGATATGGGGTTTTCTGTTCAGAGATCCCTTTACTGCTATAAGCAGGTAATAAACCTTCTGTGCTTTTAGTAATTCCACAAGGTAAATTACAAAAACAATTACAACCTTACTTTTGAAGCCTTGTGAAATTCACTCACAGACAGAAGTAAAAAGTAATATTTACTCAGGCAGAAAGCATTATCAATCTTCCACTGAGCTAAGGAGTCTGTAGTAGAGAAGAGGAGACTAAATAGAAGAAAGTTTTGCATATCTGGAATCTAGACACACTAGTGATTTGTACCCTAACTTATCCCACCTAGCTTTAAAAATTGGTGGAGTTAGATAAACAAAGACCGTAGTCAACCTATGGCCACCACGTACAGCAACCACCAGAGTGCATTAGCACTTAGCTTAGGTAAGTTAAATTAACATTAATGGAAAAACAGAAGAAATAGAGGGGGAAAAAAAGCTAAATATTCTTCAGAACTATAAAACATATATTGAGATGCAATAATTCCGTGCATACTGAGAAAGATAAAACAAAAGCTTAATTTCTTAAGCCCACATATACCTGATCTAGATTTGACAGACTGTTTGGATCTTGACTAAGAGCCTGGTACTGGCCCCGAAGCCTATCTCCTGCTGCAATCTTTCTGAACTTCTTAAGATCCACAACATATAAGGCACTGCAAAGAAAAAATATACATCAAGACTTCTGCAGTTTCATATCCTTCTTTGTAACATTAATTAAGAAGTGACAAGAAACCTGAAACTGTTCACATGCTAAAAGAGTATTATTTAAAGCAAACAGATGAAGCTATTACCATATATCATCTGAATTCAGATGAATTCATCTCTTTTTGAGAAAGGCTATTAGGTAACTGTTTGTGAATGCCTCAGTGGGCAATATCCAGAGCCAGATTTTAATCAGTTCTACAAACTACACAAAATATGCAGGAGTTCTCCTACCTAATATGGTATTTCTTTTTCCCAAGATGTGATGCCCAGTATCCCGATTTCCAGAAACGGTACCCATCCATTTCCTTACGGCTGTCACAGAAAGGTGTGTATCCATAAGGAGCTCCCTTTAAATCGAGATCTCTGAGTTCTTTCAGGTCACTTCTCACAATCTGAGTGTAAAAATAAATTACATTTATTTTTATAATTTACAAAAATAATGAAAAAGTTATACTTCCACAATTTAATACAGTTTTTAAGATGCGTGTTGCTATATCTAAATGCAATTTATCCCTTTTAGCTTTGGAAAAGTGACAAAATACAGAATATTTGTCTGAGATTTTTGATAACTATGTGACAGACTCTTCGATATCTTCCCTAAGGCAGCATGTTGCCTTTCAGTACATGATACAGTGATAATTTCTGAGTGAAAGACTGCAGCCAAATTCAAGAACGAAAGAGACAGGATTCAACTCAAAAATTCCATCCATCAAAGAGCTGGTCTGAACTCATCATCTCAGACACCTTCCATAGCCAGTGAAGTCTGCTCATAATCAGCCCAGAATCTGAATCACTCCAATATGCCTAGTGTGAAATGCACCTTTAAGGTCACACTTACCTCTCCAAGTGCCTTTGTCTACCCACAGGCAATAGAAACAATTTACAGCACTCAGTGTGATGAGACTCTTTTAATTTCTGCATGGCTAAAGACAAGCCAAATTGTTTTGTTTCATGTTTTGCAACACTACTGGTTCTGCTTGTACAACTGCTACAGTCCTGGGAGACCAAATTTGAATAAAACGACCACGGGGAAATAAAATGGATCAATTAAAACAAAACAAACTCCTCATACATTTATATAATGTTGTTCTTTCTTACCTGGTCAGCATCGACAAAGATTATTTTATCTACAGCCAAAGGGAAAAGAACGTCCAAAAAAAGGATTTTGTAGCCCCAAATAATTCTTTGCTTTTCTGTCTGCTGATAAAGCCAGCGGGGCCACTTATACTGTACTAACTCGTACTTGAATCCATATGTCTTAGCCATGTGAGGGATAACATCCTAGAAAAAGATTCAGAAACTGTAAGTTGCACACGTATATGACATACAAAGAGGCAGAAGGTGATGGAGGAAATGCTGCAACACAGTTGTATCTCTGTTGGCCTTACAAGTCACATAAACTATGAAAGCTTCTTTAATTTTAGCAGAATCCTCAGCTATAACAACACAAAAAGCATTTATTACAAGCTCACTAAGTCCATCAAAAGAGAATAAATTATAATCTACTGTTGGAATTTGGGCTCCAGAAAAGAAAACACTTACACATGATGTCATTTCCAACTGTGAAATTTAATTTTTAATTATCTGATTACTCAATAGTACTGATTTGCCTAAGTATTTAACATTTTAAAGAGAAGTTATTGAAAGAATGGTGTTTCCTATACCTTAAATGTTGGAGAGAGGTAGTTTTTCAGAAACCAAAATTTAACTGGTGTTTTGGTATGACGTAGAACAGAAAGCATCATAATTCTGTGGAAATACAAGTCTATAATAAACAAACGAATACACACAGGTCATTATATTTCAACTGTACTTCAAAGAGGCTAAAACTTTCTAATCATAACTATTCTTAACCCGATTTAAGTCAAAATTTTTGTATATTTTTAACAGCAAGTTTTGAGATCAAGACCATTTTGAGATGGATGTACATGATCCATATTGGGAAAGAAATATTAGAACAGTCCCAAATGTGGATTGGTTAATAAGTTCTACTGTGAGAGAGGTCTGAAAAACTAAAAATACAGATTAGTACCTACTATTAACTATGCTACTGCGAAGATATATTTTAGGATACATTGGTTAAGTTTAATAGGTTGCAAAAAGGAAATCAGTGAGAAAGAGAAAACAGTCCAAGCTAAGATTCTCTTCAGAAAACCCTTGATAACTCCAAAAAGTTCAGGTATGTGGAAAAAGATATATTTTTAAATTTGTTTTCTCTTTTTTAAAATAAACAGATCTTTCCCTTTAATAAAGTTGTTGAAGCCTGAAGGAAAAAAAAAGAGAACACAGACATTCCAACTCTGCCAGACTTCTAAGAAATAAAATAATACATACAAAATACTGCTTTCCAAACAAACATAAATGAAAGAATTGTGAAAATCCATTTTGGGACAGGAAAATTACTAGATCTGACAGCTACAGAGAAGCATTCATAGGAATGAGAAAAGTAACAGATACTGTGATAAATGGATTAAGAAACTGAGATATTAAACAGAAGTAGGGTCATGTAAGCATATAGTAGAACCCATATTTTGGAATAAACATAAATAGATAGAAACTCTAATGAAGTCTTTGCTGCCACATTTTCGTAAGAGAGGTTCAGCTTCATCTTTTATCTTCACACTTAGCACAGGCACTCGTGACAGGCATAGAGAATATTCTTCTTTCTTCAAGGAACAATGACATTCTAGAACACCTATCTACGGTTTGTCCTCTAGGAAATATGCATTTGGGCCTCCTTTACATCTTGTGGTTTTGGCTGGGATAGAGTTAATTTTCTTCATAGTAGCTGGTATGGTGCCCTGTTTTAAGTTTTTGATGAAAACAGTGATGATAACACAAATGTTTTAATTGTTGCTGAGCAGTTCTTACATGGAGATATGGACTTTCAGCCTCTTGTTCTGCCCTGCCAGCGAGGAGGTGCACAAGGTGCTGGGAGGGGACACATTCAGCACAGCTGATGACTTAAACTGAACACAGAGATGTCCCACATATGGTGTCATACATAGTAATAAAACTGGGGTAAAGGAGGAGGAAGGGATGACACTTGGAGTGATAGCATTTATCTTCCCAACTAACCATTAAGTGTGATGAGCCTGTTTCCTGGCAGTGGCCTGCTGAGGAGAAGCAGTGAGTGAATGCCTTTTTTTGTTTTGCTCGTGCATGCAGTTTTTGCTCTAGCTCTTAGATCTCCCCCCCACACCCATCCTGCTTTGGGAGGAGTCAGCAGCTGTGTGGTTGCCTACTGATAAAACAGTCAGCTTCATTATGCTGCCTAATTTTAGGATGAACTTTTACTTACCTTAAAAAACGTTCATATAGATGGCCTGAAGCGACTGAAAAAATGTTAAGTACATCACTTTTATTTTCCTTCTCTTCTGGTGAAATTTCTGAAAGCCTAAGAAAACAAATCGATTATCAACTGAGATACACATCTAACAGAAAGAAAACTGAGGTTGTAAAGAATGAGAAGTTTGAAAATTCACAGAAGAAATACCCTGACAGAATGCACTCATATTTTACTTCCACTACACATTTGGAATCGTAAGATGATTCCAAAATCTTTTACTCCATTCCTGGAGGCATTCAAGACCTGACCCAGTGTCTGAGCAGCCTGATCCAGTGGGTGGCAGCCATGCCAAAAGCAAAGGGTAGGAACTCAATGGCTTCCAAGGTCCCTTCCAATCCAACCCATTCTGTGATTCTTTGACTGTTCTGCAAACAATAACAGCTCATACCCACTCACTCAGAACAAATTTTTCTTTACCAAGATAGTGGTGAGGTGCTGGAACAAGCTGCCCAAAGAGCAGAGTTGTGGATGCCCCATCCCTGGAAGTATTTAAGGCCAGGTTGGACAGGGTCCTGGGCAATCTGGTCTGGTATTAGATATGGTGGTTGGTGGCCCTGCATGCAGCAGGGAGGTTGGAACTTGAGGTCCCTTCCAACTCAAACCATTCTATGATTCTATGATATTTGAACCGAATATATACATTCTAAAATACAGAACATTACCTAAAGATGACCACACCAGATAAACACATATTTAGCCCTATACCTTGTTGTCAGTAAACCAACTGTAAATGATGAGGCAAAGGAATAACATTCAGCAGTCTGTGGTGATGGGATTTTCTAGGTGTTTTTCATAATTCTTATTTTTTTTTTTTAATAAATCCATTCAATTACTCTCCCTATAGCAACTCAGGTTTAAGGTAAGCTGTCCAGAGCTTTTCTTTTTCTGCTGCACATATTCTTTGTTTGCTTTAAATTCCAAGGATCGTTCTTTAACTGCATACGCCTTCCAGCACATCGAGGGAAGGGATCATAGCTGCAGTCTCCCTCAGAGCACTACTTTAATAGGTTTCTGAAGAGCGAAGGCTGCCTTAGGCAACTGGTTATGTTATGGATCAATACTGTTGGAGATTCACTTTAGAATCATTTTCCAAACTGAAGACTAGCTCAGATGGAGTGTGTCCCTCCACATTTTTCTTCTCTTTAGATCCCTTTTAAAAACAAATTAATTTGTACCTTGTAACTGATTCCAAATTCCCTTTTTCTGTTGTTCCATCAGTAAGGAGATCTTCATTCATTTTATCAGGCTTTTTCTGTACCTAGTCATTAAAAAAAAAAAAAAAGAATTCATGTCATTTCTGAAGTTAGTTGATAATAATTACTACTTCAATTGGAGTATCTAACTATGGCAGATTAACAGCTTCCCAATTCCTATCTCAGTAAAATAATTACTGAGCTGCATTAACCTAAACTGTAAAACTGTCATATCATACTTTTAAGACCTGCATAGAACTTACTACTTTAAGAAGCAAAGCAACCAATTATGTAAAAATAAATAGTGATGAATAAACCAAACAGCATGTTCAAATACTCTGTGCTTCTTTACTCCAACAGAAACTAAATGTCAGCAGAATCATAGCTCATTTTCCTCCTTTACTGAAGACCCTGCCACGATTCTGTGATCCAGCCATCAGCTGCCAGAAGGGCAGTAGAGTGTTGAATCATGCACAAAACTTATCTGAAGGGAAACTGTGATTCTCATAAGCCTTTCAAAAGGAGAAAGCGACCAACCTGTTGCTGAATCAACTATACAGATTAACTAATTTCTGTTGTCTCAATCAGGTGCTAACTAAAGGTGCCAGGTTACTTTTGGGTGCTGACCTTAATTTCCTTGATTAGAAGATCAGTATTTTTGAGACACACATGTTTATACTGTTAAGTTAGTACTTGCAGACTTCTTTTCATGTAGTGTCTTCTTAGCTGCTGAAGCCATATTCTAAATAACACTGAAGTGACTCTACAGTTTAACTGAACGATAGAGCTTGCATATTCTAGTTATTATTTTAAACCACACAACCTTTCACATCCAATAAGTTTCCTATTTTGGCACCCTTGTAACCTTTCTCTGTGGCTTAAAGGCAGATGTCTCACCCTCCAAAAAGTGAATTCTCTTCTGATGATTCTGGAAACTTTCAGTTACAAGACTGAGGATGAGACTCAGGTTTTTTTAAATACCTCTTTCTATTTATGTTAACATAATTCTGCCATTCTCAGTGTCTAATATCAGAATACATCCTGACTATACCTAATCAAAATATTATTTACATAATGTAACATATTTTTTCTGTATTTAAGAACAAAAGCCAAGTAATTTTGTTTACACAGATGTGGTAACTGAGGACAGAATTCAATGTGCCTAATTTGAGCTTCCATTGGCATCTGGACTTGATGTCAAATCCCTTCCCAGTCACAGGGTAGAAATGGATGCCTCAAGAGGTGGTCACCTCATATTTAAATCAATACGAGCTGGGATGAGCAGTCCTCTCTGTCTTTCTCATTCTATTAAGCAGAGAGGGAGTTTCAGGCACCAAGTTCAGACTGTATGCCAGTATTAAACACCTTGAACTTGATGAGACGAATCCTATCTGTGTTATGCAGACAACTATTTAACAACCTCCTACACAATTAGTATAACTCTATTGGATCAAATTAACTACATTAATTTGCATACCCCTCTCTATTTAAATTTACAAAATCTAGATGATATATTCCAGTATATAACTTCCAATTAAATATAGCCTAAGACATGCGAGCATTAGTCATATATAAAGAAATAGTGCAGACAAATATATATATATATATATCTTTACATACTTGGACTTTGATTATTTTGCTTCTGAAGTTGTTTAAAACCACAATAACATCTGCCAGGTCAGCTACAGAATCTGTTCCTTCATGGCTGTGAGGGGAAAAGAAACCATGGAAATGTACTGACTCATTAAAACATGAATTATCACTTGGGTTCAATTAGAGTGTAAAGTTTAAGATTCCTGGTATTTATAGAAACAATATTTCTTCATTTGCACCTAATTATATCCTAACTTCTGAAAGATTCTGAGGTTTGTTCAGAGCTCGTCATTGCTCACAGTTCTAAATTAAAAACTGAGAGTTAGATTTTTACATGAGATTTTATCAACCAATAACAAATGCAGCAATCTAGAGGTCAATATGTATTATACATTCTACAGGTAAATACAGCATTAAAATATTAACCTATGTTTATGCACCACATGAACATTTACCCTGCTGAACATCAGTTTAAAGCTATTCAGATATCTCTAGACTGTACTCCATGAGAAAATGGAGAAAAATTATGAAAAATGTGGCTGTCACTCTGTGATGCAGCGTAATGGCGGAACTCTCAAATTTTGTAGCATTTATACCTTGAAAGCCCATATATTTTTCCTTCAATCCTTTCTTCCTCTAAAGAACATCATGTGCTTTCCCCTTGATACAGCTACACATGCAAGGTCTTGGTTTAAGAAAGTAATCTGCTACCCCTTACTTTTTGCCTTTTCTTTTTCTTTCCTGGAAAACAGAAATACCTTATCTTGTTTCAACCTGCTTCATATTGCTTACCTAAAAGTGACACACTTTTATCTACTGACACGCATTCTCTATTTAAAACATTTTCCTAAAACGTGCCAATGATCATTAATTTTCATAGACGTGGCTGATTCTTGCACAAAACAATTTTCAGAATTATCCTGACCCTTCCACTCTTTTAGTTTTGCTTTCACACTTTTATGTATATGAACAGTCAGCCAAGAACTGCAATCAGCATAAAAGGGCACAAATCTCCACTGTCGGTAGTGCAATTAAAAAGCTCTAGAATAGTAAATGAGCCAAACACAAACTGTTGATAGCAGAAATGGCAGCAGCTGGCAAAGTCAAGATTATAGAAGTGTTTGCATTTTTGCACTCAGTTTTCCCACAATCAGAACTTTCTCAGTTATTCATTCATTTACCTCAAAATCTCCACACTGTGAATTCTGTAGCTGTCTGCACCTCCATTGATGAAGATAATTTTCTGAAGTCTTTAAAATACTCTCAAAACATTTGGTTTGGACATAAACTTAACATAACCATCATGTCTCTCTGAATCTCTTCTGTGGACCCTCTACTACCAAATTAAAGTTGACCCTCTCACAGTTGTTTCACTGAGCTCTGCACTTAGTGCAATGAGTTTCTGTCCCAGTACCAACAATGTGCTGGAAGCAGCGAGAGCTACCGTTAAGTACAGTTAACACTGGTCTTGATTCAATTTATCTGTATTTAGAAAGACTAAAAATGAATTACTTGCAAGGGTATTAAGTGTTATCGTAAGAGAAGTAAAACTGAGTTGTTATGCATGGTGTAGCATGCTGAAGTAAGATTACACTTCAAAATTTTGTATTTCTCCTCAAGCTCCTATTACACTGTACAGGCCTGTGCTACAAGTAAATCAAGTACAGTAAGTCAAGTACAGTTTAAGAGGAGTGAATGTGACTTATGTACAAGGAAAGAGAATACCTCATGGCCAAATTCCATGTTATCAAATGGTCAGTTGAGTTTTGATAGCAATTTGATACTATTCATAACAGTATCAACAGGCTCTTTTCAGCAGTGCCCAGTAAGGGGCAATGGGCACAGTTCCATACAAACATGAGGGAACAATTCCTCACTTTGGGGGTGACTTTTCCTTCACAGGGCTTTCTTCCAAGGGAGGAATGTGTGGTGCAGTCAAGACAGAGCCAGATTAGAGAAATGAAGAGTGCCTTTAAGTCCCAAGGTTAGGGTGTGATAACAGTGATTTTTAGATGACTGAGAAACACCTGGAATGAACTAAAGAAGAAAGTCTACAGCTGAAATGAATATAATGCTTCTGTAAGAAGAGATGCCACCCATCAATAACCCCATGTGTAGAGGCACTCTAAGGACTGAGAAAGTTATGGCAGAGAAATTGACAGCAACTGATCAGCAATTGATTGCAATTGCTATCAGCAAGTGTTCCAGCTAATTAAGACTCCTGAAGAACAAAGCTAGCAATGCTCCACTGGACATGCACTTAAAACAACATGGTAAGTATGGTGAGCCACACCTCTGTGCCTGGGAAGATCACAAAATAGATCCTCCTGGAAGCAATGCTAAGGCACATGCAAGACAAGGAAGTGACTGGAGATCTACTGTCATCTACCTGGACTTCTGTAAGGCCTCGGACAAGCTTCCACATCACATCCTTATCCAGAGAGATATGAAAAGTGCTCCTTTTGGTGGGTGAATAATTAGCCAAGCGGTTGTAGCCAAAAGGCTGCAGTCAATGGCTTTATGTCCAGGTGAAAGCTGGAGATGAATAGTGGTCTCAATTGGTGCTCTTCAACATCTTCATCAATGACACAGACAATGGATTTGAATGCACCCTCTGCAAGTTTGCAGTTGATAGAAATCTGAGTGGTGCAGGTAATAGAACGGAAGGAAGGGATGCCATTCAGAGGGACCTGGACAGGCTTGAAAAGTGGGTCCACATGAACGTATGGAGTTCAAGGCCAAGTGCAAGCTGCTGCAATTTGGATTGGGACAATCCCATACTTGAGCTGAAACTGGGAAAGAAACATATTGAGAGCAGTTCTGTGGAAAAGGACTTGGGGGTTTTGGTGTGGACAAAAAGCTGGACGTGAGTATGGACATGATAAAAAAGCTGGCATGCAAGAGCAGTGAATGCCAACTGTACACTAGGCTGCATCAAAAGAGGGGTGAGTGGCCAGCAGGGAGAGGGAAGTGATTGTCCCCCTCTGCTCTGTTCTCAAGAGTCCCCATCTAGAGTTCTGACTGTCTGGAGTCCTCAGGACAAAAAAGGCATGGACCAGCTCACACAGGTCCAATGGAGGCCAAAAGATAATCAAAGGGCTGGAGCACCTCATCTATGAAGACAAACTGAGGGAGCTGGGATTGCTCAGCATGGAGAATGCTTTGGGGAGACCTCACGGTCTTCTAGTACTTAAAGGGACCTTAAAAACAGAGGGAGATTGACTTTGTACGCAGGCAGGTGGTGGTAGAACAAAGGGCAATGTGTCTAAACTGACAGAGGGGAGATTTATATTAGATACTAGGAAATTTTTTTTTAAAGCATAATGAAACTACTAGTACTAATGTTCTAATACAATTTAGTGCTCAGAAAACAAAAGACAAGACTAACAATAAGTAAGGAGTAAGTAGTTCTGAATTAGCTATTCATTCTCAGGAAAGAGGTCTTAAAGACCATAAATCTCTAAGAATAACAGCTCAATATTGCTAGGGTCTAGCAATATTAAAAATGGAGACAGGGTGTTACTGTTTCATAGAAAATGAACAGTAAGGAATTTAACAATGCTGTTGCACAGTAAATCAGTCTTTACTTATGGCTAGCCAATTCAAAATGATAGGGCAGAATTAGAGAAGACAAACACAAAAGCAATGAGGATGACAGAAATATATGGAGATCCTCTAAAGGAGGAAGGACCACACTCAGAATTTTCAACTCAGAAATGAGAAAAACAAAGGAAAAAGAAAGGCTGATCATACTCTGAATGTAAATCTGTCTATGTTTATTACAAAGAAATACTTTTATTTATGTAGGGTATATTCACAACAAAGCTGCAGAGTAAATTAGTTGTCTTTTTTTTTTTAATAAAGCATGCGTTTTAAACATACTTTGAAAACTATGCCTCTGTAAATATTTAATGCTTCTGCTTTATGCTCTCTTTCAACTGAGGAAACAAAAGGGATTTTGTGTTTTAAATCACAATCTAGCATGATATAAACAGAAGTGATGTCTAATCAGATTGGGGTACTTACTGAACAAAACAAAAAGGAATCTAATAGTAAAACAATACTGAACAAGATCAATGCCTAAAACAAAATATACCAACTCAACTATTTCAGATGTGCAGGAAGCAGATGGCACGAAGCTACCATCACAGAACAAGCAGTCTGAAATGAAACTACAATCATTCAATAGATATTTCTATTCAGAACCAGACCTTGATTAAAAACAGTATCAGCATTACAGTCATTGATAAAATTTGTGAGATAAATCTCATTCAGCAACTTCCAAAAATGTAATTCCAGGCAAAAGAAAAAAAATCATTACATTATTTAGAATATTAAGGATACAATACAATCTATCACATACAGTGCTCTGTTTCTCAACACTGTAGATCATTCTTGAAGGAACGATATGAAATTGTTCTTTATTCTGTTACTTAGCCATGCAGATGATATATACAAAAATTTATAGGTAGTGTGCTTTAATTTATTAAAAGTCTTCCTGAAAAGACTCTCAAAGTTGGTTTTAAGTTTCATTAATTCCTTTTACTTACACTTTCACAAAATAAGGTATCTGTTATACACATTAAATCTTGGTTCTTGTTCTACTTTCTCATGTTATTTTTGCTAATTTTTCCTTCAATATGTGTTTTCAAAATACGCTGTACTTAAACAGAATCATTTGTAAGTACATTTCCTAAGCACAGATCAATACTTACGAAAAAACCCGATAAATGTCTTCAGATCTTCCTTTACGCAGCCTCAGTGTCCAAGCACCTGGATTTGCTTTCAGCTGAAAATACCCCTGTGAAAAAGAGAGAAGACACGCAACTGTTCTGTCATCATTTCAAAATCAGCCATATGCACATACAAACATCAGTTATCCAACATTTGGTACTGCAACTGAGGTTAGTAACCATTCATTACCTACAGCCATATTAATCCTGGAAGAAATATGGCAGAGATGCAACCAGGTATCACCTTTCCTGTATGTCCATATTAACTTCTCTCAGTGTTCCACTTAATTCTAGCTAAATTTGAGATGTATATAAAATCTCCATCCAAAACAATAAGTAACTGAGCATTAAAGAAGTAAATTATGAAATTCACCCTAACCCAAAAAGCTTCTTTGAAATTTAAAATTTTGTCTTTAGTAACTTCCAAGTAAACACGGTTCTTCTCCAGTTTAGGAACTCTGCATACAGCTAAAAGCTTCACCATGCTGAACACCTTCTACTATTGAGAAAGTATTCAGTACTGGTACTAAAAACTCAAAGTGTATTAAGCATTCTCTTCCTTGTGATAGAATTTTCACAGAGAGCTAAGAATAGCAGATTGAAAACAGATCTTATTCATCAAAAGTAATCTTTCCTTTCAAATTAGACTAGACAAAAAACATTTTCTCACTTCAAAAATTACAAGATCCACAGACTGCTGCCAACAAAAATAATTACTTCAGACAACCAGAGGAATTCTGAGGTGTGGATTTGTCTTACAGAGGCTTTAAGCACTTAAGTGAAGCATCTAAAATAGGAGTCTTCTTTGCCTGGATCATTTGTAACAAAAATGGTTATCTTAGTCAGAAAGTGATTCATACCTTATGTTTGTTGGTGGAATCACCAATCATATCAAGTTATCTACTTCCTACCACTGACTTAAGGCAATGAGACTCCTACTTTAGGCATTTCAGATAAGGGTCTGAAATTAGGAGAAATCCAAAACTATATTGGATCAGAAGAGCAGGGTTTTGTAGGTGGTCTCAACTTCAGGATGCTGCTGTTATTTTGAACATTTCTAATTTTGCAATACATAAAAACAGATTTAAAGAAAAAGACTCTCATAAAAATTAAAAAATAAGAATCTTATAAAGAATTCTCATGAGGAGCATGAAATTGTAATGACTGTTTTTGTACTGAATACTTACCAAGTTGGCCATCACAATAGTATCAACCATGACAGGATTATTCTTTGTGCCCAGAGTGAACTGTAGCCCTCGAGGAGGTTGTCCCGTTGACACATCGAAGCAATGTCCTTCAAGCAATATGTATTCCAGTTCATATTCTGTTACAACAGTTCCTTTTATCTGTGGAAGGAATATCTTATTACTAAATTATGTCATTTAACTATGTGGGAAAATGAACATACTACAAGGACAAACACAATGTATAAGATTTACCTCACGTTCAACTGTCAAAACCAAGAGAATGTCCTTCCAGGGAGAAGTTCTCTCAAGTTTAAAATAAGTATTCAAGACAAAGAGGAAAAATCACTATCTCGAGGATCCTTTCCTCCACTATTGAGGAAGCTGAACTTTGGTAAGGCAATCCCCAATCTTACCTTCATCATACCATCTGCAAATATACAGTTTTGGTGGAACACACACCTTCAACATTTAACATAAGAATTGTGAATGAAACAAATTTAGTTATTTTGAAACTGAGGATTAAGAATATAATTTTATAAGATCTGAACTAAAAAAGGATCAAATATAGTTAAATCTATATTTTAATCTATACTAATAAATAGCAATATAGTTAGACTTATTTGAGGATATAGACATGATAATTCTATTACTACTACAACTGTATAAAAAAGTGAAGAGATGGAAAACTAACACATAGAAACACTTAACCAGTATATTTTTATCTCAAAAAATGAATACTTCTGTTAAAAAAAAACAAAGCTCAACACAGCAGATAAACCAATTTTACTTGTATTCTGCTGCCTTTTTTTTTTTTTAAATTTAATTGCTGCCTTTAAACTAGCCTGATCTAGTGGTTGGCAACCCTGCCCACAGCAGGGGAGCTGAAATTAGATGATCTCTGAGGTCCTTTTCAACCCAGGCCATTCAATGATTCTATGATTCTATGATTTAAATACTTGTTTTTGTGGGGTTTTTGTTTGTTTGTTTTTAAGAGAGAACGTGAGGAAAAAAAAGACAATAAAATAAAAATAGTAAAACACTGACCAAATTATCAGTTACCACAGGAAGCATTTCTGGAGAACAGAGCAAAATCCCATGACATTTTCTTTTCCTTCTGGTGGAAAACCCAGTACAAATTTTACAGTGTTTACAAACTATTACTTACATCCTGCAAATGAATGTTATCAAGATCACAGGAACTGTTCACTGCTTCAACCAGCCAGCTTTCAGGAGTGATCATGTTTAAAGTCAAAAGGGGTGATTCTGGCAATTCTAGGAATTTTGCCACAGGTTCAGAAGGAAGGTGTTTGTTGATCCCGTACATTATTTCTGGTTCCAGAACAAAACGATAGAAGCTGATAAAGAAGAGTTCAAACAAAACCACATTGTTAAGTCTGAGTCACAAGCACAATATTCTTCTACAATATGTTATAATACAGTCAACATATACCAGCAGTTTCTGACACTACCAGCAGAGAGCAGAGGGAAGGAAAGGTCCCTCTGTTCCTTTTCAACTCTTGTATTCTCCTGTGAGAACATTCACTGAACAACAGAATAACAATTATTTCCTTCCTCTACCAATATCCAAGAAAATGAGAAGAACCAGAACTGAGGTAGAAGAGCACAGAAGATGGAACAAACAGTACTTCATATGGAAAAAACTTAACTGGAAAAAGTAAAAAGGCCTGTGCCCATCAAGAAGAATACAATTTTCCCACAAAGGACTTGGACTAAGGTGTATATGGATGCATTTCATATGAAACTATCTCTGTAAGAAAAATACCACCTGTCCTCAGGGCAGGTTCCAGAACCCTTCTTCCTCTCACTTTCCTAAGTACGAAAACCTGGATAGTGTAGCTAGCTTTATAACTGATTGTGACAACATTCAGACAAGATACTCAGAAGACTGATGATGTAGTTGCTCTCTTGCAGCGTAAGAGACATGAGATCAATTTTTCACAAACTGACTAGAAACTAAGGACTTCTGCTTTGTGGGTAACCAATTAACTCTCTTGGGCTACCAGCTAAAGGACAGGCACTATCATCAGTCTATTTGGTCTAGCATTAGGTGGAATGGTTGGTGGCCCTGCGTGTGGCAGGGGGGTTGGAGATTCATGATCCTTGAGGTCCCTTCCAACCCTGGCAATTCTGTGATTCTGTGATCAGTCCCCTCCCATAACACGATTACAGGTAAAATTTCTGATAAATGGACAGCAGCATTCAAACATGCCTCTTAGAGGAAAAGGAATCCTCTCTGGGAAGTTCACATCAGTGTAAATGTAACTGAATGAGCGAACTCTGAACTTAATTAGTGGTCTTTGTAGCCAGTTAAGAGAAAATTCAATTTGAAGTTCAATTTAAAGCATTAATGACTTAAAACTAAGTCTCAAATATGGACTGTACACTTGTTTAGATGAATTTCGTCTTTAAATTAAGTGTACTGAATCTGAAAAATTCATTATACATTCAGTGGATTGCATTCAAGTTAGGCAGACAATCCTGTTCTACAAGTTTCTACAGGCATGGAAAACTCTCCATTGAATCCTATAGAGATTGCTTCTGAGAGGCGAACTTGATGGACTAGATCACTCCTCTCTGATGCAATGTTCATTTTTTTCCAGACAACTAATGCAACAAAAGAAACCACAAACATTAATCACCATTTCTTTTTTAACGGAAGATGTACTTTTAAGGCTTTTTTTTTATTTTTTATTTTTATTTTTAGCAAACCATCTGAGAGCATATAGCTTCCCTTACAAGTATAAACTACTCACCTCGTCAGTGGCACTTCTGACAGCTTAGATCTGCAGTTCAAAAACAACCTGAGTTTCACATTGACAATGTCTTTCAGTACCTACAGAAAAAAAAAAATAACCGGTGTAAAATAGGGTTCTTGATGATTGCCAAACTTCATAAATCAGCCAAAATTATCATTGTGGCAGATTGTCATTTCTCTGACTTCAGTAGAAAAATTATAAAGTTCTAAATATGTCTGATATTTGAGGGATGTTGTCATTAATTCCAAATAAAGATTTGAGTATTTCTAAAAGTGAGTGATTTAGCACACAATATTCCTGATAGTCAAATTAGTAATATGGAGTCATAGACTCATAGAACATCCCAATTTGGAAAGGACCCACAAGGATCATTGAGTCCAACTCCTGGTATATTTTCAGCAATAGTGATTTTTAAAGAGCTGTTCTGAAATTGCTCGTTTTAGGAAATTGTAGAATATAGTGAATTTCTGAAAATTATTTTAACATAGCCAGCAACTGATAAATGGTGTGCTTAAACTATTCCACCAATTTCAAAACATTCAAGTTATTGTAAGTTTTTCTACTTCTTTTTTTTTAGTTCATTCATCTGTTCATTACAAAAATACTCATCTTCTGGATGCTGTTATATAGAAGCTATGACAATAGCTTCCGTTCTTATTTTTGTGAGCAATCTATTTTGTTTAAAATTAAGAATACTTTAAAGCACTCTTAAAAACCTTTAACAGGTTATCCTCACTTATGTTCTTTCTGATTAAAAGTGCTTATTTGAAAGTATAAAGCAGTTGTGTCTGCCTTTATGAATATTATTAGAAAAGCAAATAAGATGTTAAAGCTGAGTTAAAGTATGGATACCACTAAGGCTAACATTACTATAATGGTAAGTAAATTTGGAACAAAGCTAGACAATGGCTTCTTTAAATTGCTCTTTCATTAAAAGTAATATTTTTCTTTGTTTAGCTCAGCACATAGCTATGCATTCTTTACTACAGAGGTACAACTTTACATAGACCAAACAATGCTCACAGTTTGTCATCCTCATCCTTGGTGTCACCTGAATACCATGACTGAAAAACTACTGAGCAAAAAATAAAGCCTACGAAACAGCATAAAGGTGATAAGAAGGGAAGAAACAAGAAATGAGAACCCACACAGCACTAATAATCAATATTTATTACTGAAAAAGCTTTTAAGATTAATGAATCTAGCATGGATAAAGCTCAGGTAACTCTTCTCAGACAGAGGAAGCTTGAGGAATAATGTCAGGGCAAAATAAGGTTTAAGACTTATGACAGATATTGCCCAATATGTGTAGCAACTCATAATAGTAAGAATAAATTAATTAAGCAGCAAGTACTGAGGAAAATTCTTCCTCAGTCAATAAACAAAAGGAAATTGGAAATCCTCTTATGGCAAAGTATTAAAAGAGTTCAGTCTGTTTTCTTGAATTAAGTAATTTGGATTTTTTTTTCCAGGGAATATTTCTTACTGTAACCATTGGCTGAGTTATGTAGGTTTATGTATCTTGAAAATGATTTAAGCCCAAGTTTTATTTAGCGTGTGAAATCACTTTGCAAAGTGCTTACAGTCAGTTATTACCACAACTCATCTGAGAAGCATTAAGTCACTAAACCACAATTATTCAACTGATTACTTGGAACTGTATGTGAACTTCAACTTAACGTGAAGCATCTATACTGAAAAAAAAATCTTACAACGGAATCTTCAATAGAACTGATGAAATGATCAGAAGATGAATACATAAAGCTTGGAGCTAAATTACAATCTACGGTACCAAGTCTGAGTTAAAAGTCAGGTTAATTAACCACTGGAAATACTCAGCAAGAACTGTAATCTGTACTTCACCACTTGGCAATATTTAAATTAGGATTAGATTGAATAAATGATTTATACTTCAAACGCTAACTGATCATAATAAAGTCCTCTGACCTGTCTGATAATAAGAAATCAAACCAGATTATCAAAGGGGCTTCCTTCAGAGACATCTTACTTTGGGGATGGAGTAACAGTTTCTCTTTAAAGACAAATGAGCAAAGGAAAGAAGGTAAAAGATAACTGACAGAAAAAAAGAATTCTGCTCAGAACTGATGTGGTCTGACTCTGTAAAGCTAAGTCTGGTATTTAAAAGTCTGCTGTGACTGCTGTCTCATCTGGAACTATTCAGTGCTGTAGCATATGACAAAACTTTTTGAAAAAGGCAAAACACTGCTTATATGGAAAGTTTTACCTGTCTCCCTTTGGAGAGGACAAATAGCAGTTCTTAAGATACAATTCACTATATGTTAATACAATAAAAGAAACAAGCAAAAAAAATCTCCATTAAAATATTTCTGATTTGTTTAGCTTCAAGAGTATTGTATTATTCTCTCTGATGTGTTGGCTTCCTGAATAAGACAACAGCTGCTATAAATCAAGTAGCATCTACAATAGCTGAAGAGCTTGGTACACCATGGGAGTCATTTGCCTAGACAAGCATCTAGGGAGATACTGCTTGTATCTCCCTAACCTGCTGCACTACGAGAAATGGAGGCTTCTGATTCAAGTTATGAGGACTTCAAGGCTTACCATACAATGGACTTCTGCCTGAATGGAGTTTCCAGTCAACTCCAAAACTAAAACATTGTCATTTGTTAGTATCAACGTTTCATTTTAACTGAGACTGGTGAAATGAAAGATCTGATTCTAGAGAAAAAAATACTATTTCAAGAGTCTCAAACCAAAAGAAGTACTGTAGTATCAGAATTTCATGAAATTTTAAAATGTTTTATTTTGCTTCATTATTATGTATGAAGAGTGACTCTCAACTCCCAACATTCCATACTAAATGCATTTATTGTGAAATGTATGAAAATGGGAGCAAAAAAGTAATGTAAGAATTTATGAAACTTTCATAATTATTGCACAGAAAAAGATAAAACAGGACACAGCAAAAATTAAGTTACAGGCTTCAGAACTCTAACGGACTATAAAGTGAAGACAAATATACATTTTTATGGAAAACTATAAAGGAACTGAGGTAGAGTGATATTCTGCAGCTAATGAAAGAAAACCATTTTAGGAGCTACGCTTTTAGGACAGTCTTTCTTCGGATGATCAATAGCTACACACAATGGAAGACTTCTAGATACACCTGGTAGCATTAATCAACTGAGAAATACGCTTCCAAGAGCTGAAAGGTTTATAGTCCAATCTTCTTATGATGACATTACAGGTCAGATTTAGACCACCTCATTTAGGTACCTTGGAAAACTAAGGTGATTTGGTTTAATGGAAAAAAATATATGCCTCTTAAGATTTTGAAATGGGAGATCCTTTCCTTCTATGTAACACAGATGACTTCCTCCTTTCCTCCTATTCACTATAAAGAGCATTTATGGACTCGCTTCTAAGGGGGACTGCTTCACAGGATATCAGAATTTTAATTACAAATAAGGTACTTACAAGGATGAACTAGATCATCCCTGACCTTTTAATATGAATTTTAACAACCTAATAGACATTTTAAAATATCTAAATTCTGCTTTCCACTTTAATAAACTGTACGTGGAAATAAGAAGTACAAATTAAAAGAAATGACCACCATCTTACAATCAATAAATGAGCCATCTTCTGTGCTTCTCTTGTCAATGGATCAACAACAGCAATAACGTCGTAGAATGGTTCATTCTCTTGCGGTTCAAGTTTTACTACACTGTTAAAAAAACAATTAACAAGTAAGTGACACGAAAATTCTGACTTAAATTTGTAGAAATAACATTAAAAAAAAACACATAACATTTGTTTTGTAGGCACTTTTTTGTAACAAGAGAGATGCTTGAGAGTTCACTGCTTATGAAGACATTTTCCTCTTTCTAAACAGCAATCACTAAAAAAGCCCAACATGAAATTTGATTGTGGCTCTCGTGCAGATGTCCTTTCAAAAACTGTACCTGTCTTTGCTCCAGGAGGTTGGCTCCAGCTACGTTAAATTAGAAATGGTTACTACTAGTATCCCACGACAGATGTAAATTCTAGTGTTTTAGATCTCATTCAACAACAGAGACAGCCAAAGAAAGTGCTTCTGGCTATTTACTTTCTAAACCTAGGATCAGAAACACAAGGATTCAATATACATACCTGCGTACAGTAGTGGCACTGGTATGAGTTGGCCTAGCATCAATCTGTCAGCTGAAGACAGTCCGCTCATTTTTTTTCATAAGGAATCAGATGCCATTAAGCCACACAATTTGCATTTCAATGTAATCTAATTGCATTTTAGGATCAAGCTGAGAACAGGAATTAAGTGACAGTGCTAATCCACAAATTGTTATGTAAGTATGAGCATGTGTATATTAGCCTTGCCAATAGTAATCAGAACAAACTGAATAGACTGTACTGGAGTTTTCCACTTTACTGAAGAATAGTGGGGGCTTACTGACATCTGATCTGTGAAGTTAACTCTAACATTTTGGTAAATGCAAAGTATGTACTCCCATCTTTCCAACTCCAGATCAGCACTTCTATTCACACAGATTGTAATCCTTCTTCCATAAAGGTTAAGGATGGAAAACCATTAGGTATTACTGATTTATCTATTAAAAAAGAGGTAAAAATGTGTGACACTAGGACAGACAGGCACACAATCAGTAACTTTTAAAACAGACATGCTTAGCCACGTTTCTAAACACCTAATGT